CACAACTGTAAGACCCAAGTTCCTTTAATTACCATCTCCTAGGATCATGGAAAGTCTCCAACATTCCCCCGGTAGAGGCATGTGCCTCTACTGAAAAAATTGTGAAGGTTGAGAGGAAATGCTACCAACTAAATTATAACATACCATTTGCTTTTAAACACATCCCAATTTCAAAGATGTTAAAAGGCAAGAAAGTGTATATCTTAAATTTGACAAAATATGGTAATACGATCTTCCAGAATGAAGGCAATATGCAATAAAAGTTGGGAAAACCTTCAGCCAAATATTAAAACATATCATAAATCATATAAAAATTGCTTGCAAGAGAGGCCTTAGACCTGTCTCTGAAACTCACAGAGGACCAGACTCAGGATTGTGGCCAGGTCTGCTGATGGCCTGCAGAATACACTGAGTACACACTCTTGTCCTAGAAGGTGAACCCAAAAGAAATCAAAATCATGGTGCCATGGCCTTTGCTTCCACAGCATTAGGCGAAGTCCTGAAAGAACAATGCGACAGGAGTTTCACGTTTAAAAGGAAAATGAGTTAGCTAGGCTATTGCCCAGCAAGGGCTCAGTGGGACATACTTTCAAGCTAGTCCACCCCGGGCCAGCCATCAGTGAGTGAAATCCCCCAGAGTAATGGTCACATTCTACAAGGCTGTGATGATTTCCTTTGCACTACTTTGTAGGAACTTGATCACATATGTTTCATTGCGTGCATTTCAGAGGATGTGGGAAGTGCACCTTGTGACTGGTGTATTTTCCTGAGTGTCTTGCACAATGTTGTACACGGGTTGAGTGAACCCTAGAGAATTGCGAAGGATAAATGGGCAAATAACTGACCAAAAGAAAAGTATTATTATCACTTAGTTCTGGGGTTGGCAGTTACTCCATGAATCAGCAGTGTAAGAAGAGTGTTGCTTTGCAGAATGTTAACATACAGAAGGGTGAGCAGTGGGGTTCTTAGGCCTGTGAGGGGGCATCTCTCCCACTCACTATTCCTGTCTGGCTATGACTGCAAAGAGGTCCCCTACTCTCTTTTTAGCAACTGGGGTCAACATCAACAGTAAATTCAGAAATCTTGCCTTTTATTCCATCACAAAGTAGCCTTTCCTTAACCATGAAATAGAATCTAATAGATACATTTAAGTGTCCCGTATGGGAACATTTAGTTTTTCAAAACCGGCTAATATTCTTGCATATAATTTATAGCACATTTCATCAGAACCCAACAGAACTATAGTAAACCCTTTTCATAGCCACACTGGCAATGTTGAGAAAGTTGAAGATGACTCTTGAACTGTCATAGAACTCTGCTTTTGCCCTGGAACTGCTCTTGTCAACAAGACATGCACCTCAGCACAGGGAGAAACAATCCAGAGGCAGCAAAGAGCCATACAACTGCTACTGGTGCGTCCCTCCTGGCAGCACTGCAGAGGCTGCTGAGCTGTCCCTTTCCTGCCTCACAGTGAGTCATGGTACCATCTGGGCTCCTGTCCTGAGAATACATAAGGGAAAAGAAGATGACATCATGCATGCAGACCTGTACCATGTCTCATGAATGGGGAAAAGACCACCACCTGCCAGTGTCATCCACCAAGCAATCAACACGTACTGGATTCTTGGAGTCCCATCCTTGTGCTGGCACTGCTAGCGTCTGTGAGGAAACATCACAGAGCATGTAGGCCAGCTAATAATAGGAAAATCACAAGGAGTATATATGTAAAAATACATATACATACAATATATCATATCTGTGATATATAGCCTACATCTATATTGATAGAAATGAAACAGCTACTCTTATTTCAACCACATTTTGTAAAGCAAGAGAGAACAATCATTACATAAACTGCTTAAGTAACCAGAAGTTGCTTGCAAACCAGGAAAATGACATGTCTTTCTTCTCTTTGTGTCCCCATTGGTTAACATGCTATTCAACAGATTAAAGTATTCAGGTATCCAGAACTGCTTGCTGAATGAATTCATGCGTGAATATCTTCCATGAAAACAGATGCCACCTGAGCTTAATGATTCTTAGGATTGAACTACCCGTCACAGCTCCCAAACAAGAAAAAATAGCACTTTATTTCTGTAGTTTTGGCTATGTCATACTGCTGCCCTGGTCACAACTAATCAGTCCATTAATTCATGCTGAGGCCAAAGGATCATGTAAGAGGAAGGCCAAGCTGCTATGTGGGACTCTGGCTGAAGATCCATCAGTAGGAGTCCACTGGTTGCTCTCTCTTAGGACATAGAAGTAGCACAGGCAGGAGGCTCACGAGCCCTGCTGCCACATCAGGTAGGTGATGCTCTTTTAGATGCCCAGGGCCCAGGGGGACTGATTGACAGCTGTGTACTTGTAAAGAACTCTGTCACTCTAGCCAGGTTCTCCCTAACCACATTCTGAGAAGTGGAACTGAGAAATAAGAGAAGATACTGCTTGATAATAGCCCAGAAAGACGGTAACCCAAATCCTTTCTTGTTTAGTTACACTCTCAGATGCATACTTAAGTTTCTTAGAAATCTTGCCCCCCCCCAAAGTTTAACCCTATTTATCAAAGGGTCCCAAAGTCTTCATTTTGCAGCACAAAACAACCACAAAAGTATAGCATAAAACTCCAGAGTTGAGCAACGGAGCCCCAAACTAGCCTGGATGTAACTCCTTCCTCAGCACTCAAATAAGTCTGACTAAAGTACTGCCCCAATTATGGGCTTATAACTATTATCTTCAGGAAATGAGTTTCAGACTTGTGATAATAAAGCCACAGGCTCGAAATTAGACTAGGCCCTTTTCTATAAAGCAGTTACTCAAAAATTGTAACACGAGTCCACTTTGGGTTTCAACATTTTTAAGACTTTATGACTTCAGGAATCCTAAAAACTGTAGTCATCATCCATTAAAAACGCAACTTTCAGAGTGTTCCACAGACAAGGAGATAAACATTCTTTGGACCAATCTATTTTCACTAGAGCCCTTCCAGTAAATATGTAAACAATTTTGAAGCTGGCAGACACACATGCTGAGCAAAATAAAATCCATTTTAATTGTTGCCCTACCAAGGAAAGGGACTCTGAGGAACTTGTCAAATAAATAAATGATCTATGCCTGTTCCTGTCACTTTTTCTTTTCTTCATTAAATGTAATAAATAAAATTGATAGCTTTGGGAAGAATTTTAGGTCAGCTGTTCCAATTGTAACATTCCTTCACTTTAATATCAGTTGCCGCAACTTTCCAAACTTCAAAGCAAAATCTGTTTCCTGCACTTCTCTAGACCACAGCGGTATCGATAAAGTTCACCCCAACATCCCTGGCTGGAGCTTTTCCTGATACATGCCTGATGTTTACTTTTGAGTTTTCTTTACCTTCTTCCATTCTACCAGTAACCCCTCATTCTGCTCTGGAGTATGATGCATTCAGTTTGTAGTAGGAAAATGAATTCCTTTTTGTTTTTCAATCATTTGATGCTTGCAACATAAGCTACAAAGAAATACAACTTTTAATCCATCCAAAATTCTAATTAAGAATAGCTGACAAAAACTTAGCAATGAGCAAATATAACTAATAAAGGATAAAATACACTTTAACAGTTCTAGGGGTATAAAACTGCAGCTCTAGATAGACATAAAAATTAGTGTTTTAAAGGAGAAGATCATAAAGATAGAAGTAAAACTGTCAATTCTTCCATACTCCCCAAACAAAATAAAATATTCCTCACATCAGGAACTCTTTTCCTATCATACATCAATCAATGCCTACTTTTGTAACTAACAGAATAGCTGTGGGAAAAATTTCAAACAGGGCCCAGGAGTAAATTCAAAGCAAAATTCAGCCAGCTTACACCTTCCAGAGCAAAGGAATAAATGTTTCTTGAATACTGAAACTGCTATTTAAAGTGCATACTCAGAGACAGGGCTTAAATAAGAAAGGGATATCACAAAGATGGACACAGATTACAGTGACCTATTAGCATCACTGAGAAGAAAGAAATAAAAGCTACCAGGAGGGAGGAAAATTAGAAGCCAAAGGATAATAGTTGGGAATGTTAGCTTGCATTCCTGCTCCCTGTGACTTGCTTTAATCTTCAGATTTAGCTCTTTGTTGTTCCTCTTTGTATTTTGTTTCTGAAATGAGTGATAACATAAAGTCATTGAAATAACACCACTAAGACAAACTAACAGAATAGAAAATAAAGGGTAGTTTTGTGCTCTGAGGGAGGTGACTCAAGGAATTCAGCACAAGGACATTTCTGTAAAGCATGATCATGACTACCCTTTCAGGCTGCTCCTGAGGTTTTGTCTCACCCTAAATGCAATCACAGATAAGCCCTTACAATACAATAACATTCCAATAAGGATTGGGAAGCGTGTTCTAGAAAGACTTCGAGTCTGCAGCAACACTCCACTTGGACCACATCCTACCCCACACTTATCCACCCATTCCCAAAAAGGTCTGTGACTCTCCAGGATGGAAGCACATGGCTCCCTTCTCTGGGTGAGTATTCCCTAGCCTCGCCTCTAAAACCCTGGAGACAGACAAAATGATGATGACAAAGTATATACCAAAATAAATGAAATTTTGTGGCATTTCTTTGAAATAAAATGTGCTACGTCAGACCTCTTGATTTAGGATTTCAGATATTCAAAGTATTACATTTCAAATACTTTCAACAGGGACAAATGCAACTTTTTTTACATTAAAAATCACTAAGCTCCAAAGAGATTATTTACTTTCCTTCTACCTTTTTTTGGTCAAAGAGAAGCAATGATAGAAGTATAATTATATTTAGTGCTTATGCAGTAGGTATTATGCTATGTGCTTTTTTTCTTTATATATCCTTTTATTGGTACATTTTAGGTGTACAATATAATGACATTCATCATTGGAAATTTGCACCTTTACATACTCTCCTGGTTCTTATATTTTTCCCCTTCCCCTGCCCTCCCTTCAACCCCTCCATCCCCCTCCCTATTTAAAGAGACTTTGTTTGCTTTTTCTCATTTTCTCATATTAATTCCATTCCCTTGTGCTTTTTATATATTAGTTTTTAAAGGCTCGATCATAAGGTTAAGAGACAAGCTTATTTTATTCCCACTTTATAAATAAGGAAAATGAGGCTCAGAGAAGTTAACAATTTTCCCAAGGTCACATAGCTAAAACTCTAATATGAATTCTGTTCTCTTTGATCCCATATACCTTATACAGAAGAATCTGAAAAACATATATAATAGGCATTAGCACATGCCCATAAAAGAAGAGTATAGCATTTAATTATTCATGTGGAAAAATTGAAATTAATATATAGAAGAAAGTTTAATAACTAGGAAGATGTATGGTAGGTAACTAGAAAATATAAGCAATAGCTGAACAACTTTATATCCAACCCTTTCTATATTGGTCAAAAAAGTACCTCTAAAAAACAATAAGGCCTCAAATATTCTAATAGCCTTCCTCATTGTTTTAGAGTCTTTCATTTTTGCCACCATGGCATAGCTCTAATGACACAGATAGATACACAATCAACATATTTACACTTGTACAAAATTCAGTTTTACAAATCATCTACTCATCTATAGGTATCAGGCAAGTGTTTAATACATCTAATTTTAGGAAGAGGAAGCTTAAACAAGGCCCACTAAGCACAGCAGTTGTCTGAGCCAGATGAGATAGAACTCACTACACTTCGTCACCTGACCAGAATCTCCATTAGATACTGATTTGGAAAATGGGAATAATGCTGTAAGCCATTCACTCTTTGGTAACTATTAACTTAGTTACCTTGCTCTCCAACAGAAGGGGTTTCTAGCAGTTCTCAACCCTGGCTGCACATTAGAATTGTCCAAGAACATTTTTAAGCAATGCTCATGCCTGGGAGCCACCCCTCATGAGTCCATGGTTCTGGAGTACCCGGTTTCCCAAGATCCTCAGCTGATGCAGGTGGGTAACCACTGTCAGATAACCCCTTCTTCAGTGAGGAGGACCAAGTCCAGTCGTTTCCTGACCACGTCCATATCTTCTTCTTGGCCCTGGATAGACTAAACTCACCTGCAGCAGGTGAGTTGAAAGAGGTAAAAACCACCACCAAATCTACTCTGTGATGAGAAATGAAAGCTCTGTGGGAAGAAAAGTTGAAAAAAGAAGAAAATGTCTGTACTTGTAGCTATTTAAAATAGGAAAATTGTTATTCAATTTCTTTAAAACACAAGGGATGCAATCCCATTTTTGTAAATAATCCTTTAAATATGATTTGGTGCTTTAAAATATACACTTCCTAATAGCATTTATCCCTTTATCAAGTTTAAAACAGAGGTCAAGTAGTAGGAGCCAACCTTTAATTGTCAAACTGCAGATGTTCTGATATTTCTAGAATTTTAGGCCACAAAGCAGACTCAACAATCAACAGATTCAATTGCTGCTTCTTTTTATCCTATTTTATCAATAGTTCAGATCTGCAATGCAGGAATCAACTTGGATGAAGTATCTGCATTTCAGGAATCTAGGTCAAAACATTATTATTATTGAAAGATATTAAAATACAGACATCAAACTTCACCTGATGTTCTTATAATAGAATTTCATATATAATTAGCTCATCACATTAAAATGTGAAGCTAAGAAAGAATTAACACATAACTCCTAACTCTGCTGTTAATTTTCTATGCAGTCTAGACAGGTTGCTTAACCTCTGTGAGCCTCAATGTCTTCAGTTTTAAAATGAGACTGTTAATACTTATTTTAAATCCTTTGAGATTTTATTACGCTTGCTCTGCACTTGAGAAACTCTAAAATATAGCACAATGGTAAATTTTCAGTGGTCTCCATATCTTAAGTTTTGTGAGGGTAGGAAGAGCTTCTCATAAATTTTTGCATTATCAGAAATTAGCACAATACCGAGCATACTTTAAATACTAAATGAATGATTAATATTAATTAAATAGATGAATGAATAATAGTAACTGGAGATCACAGAAAACACACCCAAATGATTATAATGTAAAGCAAAATATATTCTTGTGTTTCTTTTTCCATCACCAAAGTTACATTGTCTTTAAGAAATCAGCAGTTATATCTTGTACCCTATTTTTGCCTCTTCTTCCTTTGGGCTAGTGCAAAACGGCCAAAGAAAAGCCCTCAGTGACTACTGGATCATATTTTGTCAGCTAAGGAAGGGTTTGGATAGAACAGACAAAACTTGCATTCATCTCCTTATCCTACATTGTGATCTTACATTCTTTTCTTCTCTATTTTAGAAAGATAAGCATTTGGGAAGCCAGGTAGGCCAGAGTTTATAGATTTCAACTCCAACATGAACATGAAGATTGAAAAACAACCACAGAAATGGTAAACTCTTCAACTTAGCTATATTAGAGAGGGCAGTTGTCAGCAATCTTGGTGCTGAGACTAGTCCTTTTCTAAAGAGCCCAAAGTCAATCATCTGAATCTAGGTTTTTGGGGGGACGGAGTCAGTTACTAATCACATAACCTGTACTGCAGAGACTTGAATTTGTTCCTATAACTGATATCAGGTGATGAACCACAATAGAGCTCATTTGGGCTGGGCTTCTCTCTCTGTGGCCAGAATGCATGAACTGGCTAATGTCTGTAATGTACCAAGTGCTCTTCTTATCTCATCTCCTTTCACTAACAGAGACCGGGTAAAAATCTCCAGCACTCCTTGTAAAATAAGCATGCATTTTCTTTGGCTTTACCTGTAATTGTTCCTAAATAGTACTACTATGCTATTTGGTGTGTGTGTGTTGGGGGTGAAAAATTGGAGGGTCCTGTCCTTCCAAACAAATCTGGGATCCTTCAGGAAAGACAAAAAGAGAGAGAAGTTAATAGCAAAGTAAAGTTAGATGAGTTTGTGAGTTGCCCCATCAAGACTCCATACTCTTGAATAATTTCTTAAACTATTAATGGTACTAAAATATATATCATAAAAACTTCATTCAAACACCTTCCTAAAACTTTACAACTACACAACTTACTTATAGGTATTTTACTAAGTCTCATTCTTTTAAAAAATGTTTCATTAGTACATATTTGCAGGTATAGTGTTTACACTCCTTGTGTGGAGTTGGAACATGTACATAACACATCTTCATCCCTTTTATCATCCCCTTTCCCTTCCCTCTCTCTCCCCTTCTTCTATCTCTTTATCCCCTTCCCATTTGAGAAATACTTCCTATTATCTATCTTTAATTTTGCCCTTTATTTATAATTTGGGTTTCTCATCGAAGAAAAACTGTGATATTTAAATTTGTGTGTTTGCTTTATTTCACTTAACATTATGGTCTAGAGGTGTGTTCATTTTCCTGCAAATGACCACTTCTATCTTTCTTTATGGCAGAATAGCGCTCCATTGTATGTAAATACCACATTTTCTTTATCCATTCAGTTGTTGATGAACATATAGGCTGTTTCCAAGACTTAGCTATTACAAATTGTGCTGCTATAAACAGGACTATGCATGTATCATTATAATATGATGTCTTTAACTCTTTTGAGAAGATATCTGAAAAAGGAATAGCTGAGTCAAATGAAATTTCTATTTTTAGTTTTTTGCAAAATCTTCCATACTGATTTTCATAGTGGTTGTACTAGTTTATATTCCCACCAACAATGGAGAAGGGTTCCTTTTTCCCTACAGGCTCACCAACATTTGTTATTATTTGATTTCTTGATAATGGCTATTCTTTCTGGAGTGAGATGGAATCTCAATATTGTTTTCATTTGCATCTTTCTAATGGCCAATGATATTGAGCATTTCTTCATGTGCTTATTAGGCATTTTTGTAGTTCTTCTATAAAGTGTCTATTCATTTCACTTTCCCATTTCTTTATTTGGTGTTTTACTTTGAGGGGGTCTAATTTTTTTGAGTTCTTTATTTATTGTTGATATTAATCCTCTCTCTGAGGAATAGCAGGAAAACTTTTTTTTCCATTCTATCGAGCATTCTTGAAAAGAAATTAGGCTAACTAGAGGATGGTTTATGGATCTACTATATTAGTACATTGGTAATAGAACAGAGCAAAAACGTCTAGGAAAAATCAGAATTTCAACTTTCAACAGATAGGAAGCTTCCATAAATACTAAGGTTATTGCCTCTTAGTTCAAATGATTTGGATAAAAAATACTCTGCCCAAGAAAGGACTGCTCCAAAATTTTTCTCTGGAATTTTAATTAATCAGCACCATTTTCTAGAAGTCAGATTTTCAGATACAGACATAGTCCTATTTTACTCTTCCAGGTCTCATTTCTAGATTGTTGAAGTAGGGAGGCTACCATTCAAAATTTCAAAAGAAGGTGCTTTAAGGGTACAGTGGATTCTGCTTTCTTACAAAAAGAACCCTGCTTTTATTCAGAGTAGCAATAAGAGCTTGATTAAAAGCTGTGTTTCCTCAACCTCCCTTATTTTAGGGCTGAGCAGATGATTCAATTTGGCCAATAGGAAATGAAGAAGAGTTTCTGCTGCAGCATCCAGATGGGCTCCTTACAAAGGAAGGAGCACTCGGGATACTGCACTTGTGACTCCTGCTCTTCTCATCTTTCCTGCTGGAAATTGGAACAGGACAGCTACAAAGGTCACTGGCAAAACCTGGGAGTGAAAATCACGCCTTCAGGCGGCCACAGAAGAAACCTCCAAGATCCTGTGTTTCTTGTGAATTTGCTGAATTACCACACTGGCTGTTGTCAGTTTCTTTTAGATGAGAGACAAGAAAACTCTTTTTTTAAACTGCTATTTTCATGATTGTTGTGGCTCGCAGCTAAATGCAATTTCTAACTGAAATAAGTTCAGTTCCAAAGTTCATTACTTGCAGCATAAGAAGACTTGAAATTATGTTGTTTGAGAAAGATTATAAAGACTCAGGATGGATGTTTGGAACGTGAAGAGAATGGAAAATAGCTATATCACATATGTAAGCCACTGGCACATGGAGAGACCCAGGAGCCACGCAAGATAAGAAAGGATGGAGGAGAGCCAGAGAAGCAGCTTCAGCCCAGCCTAAGATGTCTTTTTAATAATCAGAACTGGCTCTTCAGGTGTAAGCCACGGCCACAGGGAAGGTTCAAGCGCAGGTTGAATATTTACTCCATGGGTATAGGGTGGAGGAGATTCAAACACCAAATGGAGCAGTTGCAGAAGGTGACATGTATTCAAATTTCCACACCCATTAACTCAGAGAGTTAATGAAACTGTGATTTCGTATGCCTCAAATCCAATTCTCATTAATACAACAAATATCTGAGTGCCTGTGAAGTGGGTTTTATTGCTTTGGTTTGTTTATTGTATTTAATGAAGGTATCTTTGACAGCACTTGTAGATGTACTTCAAAGACAATGGACTTTTCGATTAGTTTGGAAATTTTTTTCACTTGTCAAAATTTGTACAGAAATGATAGGCTCATTTGCACCTGGGACAACCTGAACAATCATGACAGACCTTTGTTTCATCTTAGCCATGTGCTGCGGATTGAGCTCAGTGCTTTCAGTTACAATTTTCTAACAATCCTATGAAGGAAGTAGTATCATTAGCTCTTTTGTAAAAGCACAGAGAGTTTAAATAAGTTTTCAAGATCGTAGAACTACAGGTGATGCCCAAACTGGAGCATAGCATTCAGACTCCAGAACCCCTTGTGGAGCATATATTATTCTCCATGTATGCAAAAAAGTATATTCACTTAATGATCACAAGAAAATTACAAATGGATTAAAGGTACAATAAAATCAAACTATAAATGATGACAGTAGATGCCCTCTCTAACTTGAATATTTATTTCTTCATCGATTTTTTAAAATTTCAGATACAATTTTATCTTCATCTCTAAATATCACCCTATAAAAATATCTGGAATAATATAAGTTAAGAAGGCATATGGCAGCTATGTGACACAGGCCAACATTTACTCCCAGGATAAATTGGTAAGGGGTTATATGGCTAACCTTTCTCCACAAACAGCTATAATTACCTATATGAAGTAGAGAAATCTCTATAGGAGTCCAAGTCTTCCCCCACCAATAAGTGAGTGGAAATATGCCCATGAATAAGAAAACCCTGAAACCATTAACAGGCAGTAATTTTTCTTTACAAATCTGACAATAGGATTTTTTAAAAGCCATATATTGAGTCAGTATTTGAAAAACGAAATGCTTCTTTTGCAAAAGATCCTAACTTTTCTCTTGGAAAATTGCTAATTCAAGAATTCAAATATTTAAGAGTTGGCAAATTTTCTTTGACTGTGAGTTGTTATCTGTGGTCTTGTCAGGATTTAAAACCTGTCCTTTAAAAGTTGAAATAACTGCTTAGTTTGTTTAAAGTTACTATCATTGCAAAAAAACAAATTAAACATTAATTATTAAGCATCTTTTTACACTAATCCGTTTCTATTTGGCTACAGCTTTAAGTTTTTGGAGCTTTATCCCATTTTGCCACTTACGCTGTAAATACATGTTCTCTCTTGCAAGCTGATTAGTAATAATAAACTCAGGATAAGC